ATTTTGCTCCTAGTAACCATGTCTCCCACATATTTTGCTCCTAGTAACCATGTCTCCCACATATTTTGCTCCTAGTAACCATGTCTCCCACATATTTTGCTCCTAGTAACCATGTCTCCCACATATTTTGCTTTTAGTAACCATGTCTCGCACATATTCTGCTCCTGGCCTCCATGTCTCCCAAGTCGCTACTCCTGGCCTCCATGTCTCCAAAGCCTGATGCTCCCAGCTGCCATGTCCAACAAGACTGTTGCTCCCAGCTGCCATGTCCCCCAAGACTGTTGCTCCCAGGTGCCATGTCCTCCAAGACTTGTTGCTCTCAATGTCTGCGGTTCCCAACTCTAATGTCTGCAATGAAGGGCAATTCTAACCTGCGGTTCAGAGACAAAGTGCCTGTCTCTGTACTCTATGTAGCAGAACAGCTAGTTTGCCTCCTCTAACTCCTCTCCTCCTGTCACTAGTTGTCAGAGATGACAGTTTCACAGCCAACAGGCTCATAGCAACTAGTAGTGCTGATAATGGGTAGAGCCTGTTGGGGAAGCGGAGGGACTAGTTCCGCATCAGGTCCACTTTCTCCTTAAAAGTGGATTAAAAGCAGGCAGTGAGCGGATATTGGCCACAGAATTTTTTTAACAGCCTGTCAATCACAAGAGGAGAAAACTTCAAGGGGAACTAGTGTCTCTGAATCTCCATCCACCCAGCTACAAAACTATTCAACCGCTGCGCTGTCTGTGTGGAAGCTGCAGAGGTGTAAAGGAGCTTAGCTGCACTGAAGACAGAGGGTCTGTATGAAATACGTAGTCTAAATGCATGATATCACTTTCCAAGTAAATCAATCTCACCTGCATGAAAATATGTTATGTGCAGGCATGATAGAAATCTAAAGCGTGTCAAAGGCACTCAATGAATTCTTTGAACATCTTTCTTGCCTCTCAAATGTCAACATCAATTTATCGAAAGCACACTTCTACCAAATAGACAATTTTTCATCTGCACGATCAAAGCTGTAACAACGTCATTGTATATCACCCTTACCTTCGCACTTGAGGCCCTGCCTCACCAAACCCCACAACATCTCTCCACAGTGGTCGCAGAAAGCTGGAGCACGGTACGAATGGACATACAGTGTGTGAGGACGGATCTGGAAATCTTCAAACGTTGCTGACGCTGAAATTATAAAACCTTTGTTAATAAAATTTGTGGCATTTGCGCTAAATAAGATTTCATATCTATCAGGTGTTTCAGAGCAATAAACCATTTTTAGCATAAACAGCAACAGAAACCGATGTTTATGTCTCATTACAGGCTCCCAAAGTATTCTTCCACATTCATAAAATACATATGAAACACTGTTTTTGCTTTAAATGTACTGTCCTTAAAGTGATAGTAAAGGCAATGTTTTTTGTTTAAATAACATGTTATACTTACCTGCCCCTTACCAGTGGTTTCACACAGAGTAGCCTCAATCCTCCTCTTCTCGGGTCCCCCGTCAGCGCTTTGGGCCCCTCCTCCCTGCCAAGTGTCCCCAGAACAAGCAGCTAAGTATTAGGGAGCTGCTGCACACTGAAGGTTTTTACCTTACTGCATAGAATGCATGAAGGTAAAAACTGTTGAGCCTTTACAACCACTCTTTAACAGCAATGTAATTAGACAAGGCCGGCTATGACAGATTTTTCGTAGGCCGATTTATTATACATTGCTCAAAAATATTAAAGGAACACTTTGAAAACACATCAGATCTCAATGGGGAAAAATATCATGTTGGATATCTATACTGATATGGACTGGGTAATGTGTTTGGAACGTAAGGATGCCCCATCGTTTCGATGGAAATGAAAATTATCAACCTACAGAGAACTGAATTCAAAGACCCCGAAAATCAAAGTGAAAAAATTATGCAGCAGGCTACTCTATTTTGCTGAAATTTCATTGTAGCAACTCAAAATGGTAGTCAGTAGTTTGTATGGCCCCCACGCGCTTGTATGCATGCCTGACAACGTCGGAGCATGCGCCTAATGAGACGACAGATGGTGTCCTGGGGTATTTCCTCCCAGATCTGGACCAGGGCATCACTGAGCTCCTGGACAGTCTGAGGTGCATCCTGGTGGCATCAGATGGACCAAAACATGATATCCCAGAGGTGTTGTGTTGGATTTAGGTCAGGTGAGCATGGGGGGCCATTCAATACTATCAATTCCTTCATTCTCCAGGAACTGCCTGCATACTCTCGTCACATGAGGCCGCACATTGTCGTGCACCAGGAGGAACCCAGGACCCACTGCACCAGGGTAGGGTCTAACAATGGGTCCAAGGATTTCATCCCGATACCTAACGGCAGTCAAGGTGCCATTATCTAGCCTGTAGAGGTCTGTGTGTCCCTCCATGGATATGCCTCCCCAGACCATCACTGACCCACCACCAAAATGGTCATGCTAAACAATGTTACAGGCAGCATAATGTTCTCCATGGTTTCTCCAGACCCTTTCACGTCTGTCACATGTGCTCATTGTGAACCTGCTATCATCTGTGAAAAGCACAGGGTGCCAGTGGCAGACCTGCCAATTCTGGTGTTCAATGGCAAATGCCAATCAAGCTCTATGGTGCCGGGCAGTGAGCACAGAGCCCACTAGAAGATGTTGGACCCTCACGCCACCCTCATGAAGTCCATTTCTGATTGTTTGGTCAGAGACATTCACACCAGTGGCCTGCTGGAGGTCATTTTGTAGGGCTCTGGCAGTGCCCATTCTGTTCCTCCTGGCACAAAGGTGCAGATATCAGTCCTGCTGATGGGTTAAGGACCTTCTACAGTCCTGTCCAGCTCCACTAGAGTAACTGCCTGTCTCCTGGAATCTCATCCATGCTCTTAAGTCTGTGCTGGGAGACACAGCAAACCTGCTGGAAATTGCATGTATTGATGTGCCATCCTGGAGGAGTTGGACTGCTTGTGCAACCTTTGTAGGGTCCAGGTATCGCCTCATGCTACCAGTAGTGACACTTACCCTAGCCAAATGCAAAACTAGTGAAAAACAGTTAGAAAAGATGAGCAGGGAAAAAAAAATGTCAGTGGCCTCCACCTGTAAAACCATTCCTGTTTTGAGGTTCGTCTCATTGTTGCCCATCTAGTGCACCTGTTAATTTAACTGACCAGATCAATATCCTGGGAGTTTAAAATACTTGATGCTATATTCTGATTAAAAAGTGTTCCTTTAACTTTTTGAGCAGTGTACTAAAAGTTTACCAAAAGAAGACTTTTCTTTCAGCTATTTTATTAGGGTGAAGCAGGGGAAAAAAATGTCAGTGGCCTCAACCTATAAAACCATTCCTGTTTTGGGGGTAGTCTCATTGTTGCTCATCTATAGCACCTGTTGTTAATTTCATTAACACCAAAGCATCTGAAACTGATTAGCAACCCCCTCTTAACTGACCAGATCAATATCCCAGGAGTTTAACTGACTCTATGCTATACTGAATAAAAAGTGTTCCTTTAATTTTTTTTGAGCAGTGTATTTTTTTTTTTCTTGGGTGAACACAGCTAATCCTATTCAACCATTCTAATTGTCAGTTTAACTGCTCCTAATAGAATAATTCAATGCAAGGTGCAAACAGTACAAAAAAATTAAAATTCAATTGCTTGGACTGGACATTATGTTGTGCCAAAATATTGCAAGCCATATTCATTCTGCATTCCCCAAAACATCTGAGTGGGACTGCAGCCTCCTGTCATATTAACCATTGCTCAGTACCCTCCCCTTATTCTCTAATATGGATAACCACAGGTGCTAAGCAATCAAAGCAGGGTGGTGTGATGCAGCCAAGAACACAGTAAACCCTTTTTTACACACATAATGCCATTTAACCCCTTCGCCTCTCGGCCCTTTAAGGGTTTCAGAAGCCAGGAGGCGGAGCGGGGTTTAGGGTCATGTGACCGCTGTGACACGCCGTCACATGATCAGGAAAGGTCCCGATTGAAAGAGGAGATCAGGACCTTTCCGTAAGTACCAGACACGTGTGCTGGGAGCGCGCAGGGTGTGCGCTCTCAGCACATATGTTTTTTAATAGACCGCAAATGTGCGGCCGCACGGCGTCTAGGCCCAGACGCTGGGAGGCCACACATTTGCGTTTGGCCAGCGTGAAGAGGTTAAAGCAAAGCAATTCTAAACTTTATCTAGTAAAGCATACAGCTAAACAACTAAAATTCAGTTATAATTACTGTATTTCAATAATTAGAGCTTTGTAGTCAGTCAGTTAGCTGCTCAGGATTACATTTGAAGGTTTGCAAACACACAGTAAATTTGTCACAGAAACCTTGCTAATAGGCAGCCTGAATTGAATGTAACTGTGTTCCTAAGTCACTTGATAAATGTCCCCACAGTGTCAAAATCTATTCCTACCTTACTGGTCAGTCAAGGAGCCCTGATGACGTTATACGACGAAACATGTAGAGCGGGGCTTGAAAGCGCTACACTTGTCCTCTGAGAAGGAATTGCTTTGTGCTGGGATTTAAAGTGCCATACACATGGTTTTCATGTAAGTGCAATTGTAAATGTTTTTTACCTAATAAATACGGTGTTACGCTATGGAAGTTTCCCTTTTGATGTTTTTACGGTGGTGGAGGAGTACTGTGGAGGTTCTGGAGGAGTTTTGTCACAAACAATTGATCTAGAGGTGTTTCCACTATGAAGTCTGTCATCAGCGAATAGAGATGGCAAGACCACACAGGCGGCCAACTTTCCTGCAGGAGAGCGCTGCAACATCTCATGCGATATTTGACCTACCATTCCACGTGGTCAATTATCTGTGGTGAGTGGGGCTCTGGAGGGGGAGCACTAATTGGAGCACTACGTACAGAGAACTGCTATAGATAAGATTTACTACTGTATCACTTAACCACTTGCCGTCCGGCCGTTGTATATAAACGGCGGGACGGTGGCAGTCCAGGGGCAGGTTGTCGTGCATAAAAGGCGCTCGCCATTATGGACTATGCGTGCTCCCTGCAAGCACGCAGCACTGAGATCCGGTGCCCGCTGCATCCTCTGAACACAGTGGAACACCAATCGTCATACGGGACCTCTGTGCGAGGTCCCGATCATGTGATCACTGATTGTCCAATCAGTGATCGCATGCAGAGTAGTAAGCAAGATGTCACTTCTGACATCATTGCTTACTACGTGTGAAATCTGTGAATGATCACAGAGGTCACATGGTACAAGGCATGTGATTGGTGACAAGCTGTGACCAATAACAGCTCACACAGTAGTTCTCAATGGCTGCAAGAATGGCAGCCTTTATGGGTGTAAAAAAAAACAAAATCAACACCCCCCCACAAGTAGTGCAGTGTCACCATGGTGACACTGTACTGCTAGGGTGACAGTATGTAGAAACAAAATATAAAAAAAAATAAAATAAAAATGTAAAAAAATTTTTTACAAAATTATACTTTTTGGTTATAAAACTAATTTGGGGTTTTTTTTTACTAAAAAAAAAAATGAATACATTTTGGCCAAGATTTATTTTGAAACATTATTTATTTGCAAAATTTTATAAAAAAAAAAACAAAAAACTTTTTTTTCAAAATGTGTGGAATTTTCTTTTATATAGCAAAAAAAATAAAAATCCCAGAGGTGAATAAATACCACCAAAATAAAGCTTTATCTGTCTCAAAAAAAATGCTAAAAAATTCATATGGGTACAGTGTTGAATGACCACGCAATTGTCATTCAAAGTGTGACAGCGCTGAAAGCTGAAAACTGGATTGGACAGGAAGGGGATAAAAGTGCCCGGACTGGAAGTGGTTAATATTCACACCGGATGCGTTTTTTTTTTTGGAACTTTCCATTTTTTTTTTACTTTTATACTTTTGCACAATTATTGGGACTTTAATATATATAGAGAGAGATACAGTTTCATGGCATTGTATATGAGCTATCTTTAGCACTATTGTCGTTTAAGCACCTTGTATTTACTTATTGGTTTATTTGGGATTTAAGCACTGGGGAGGAGGGATATAATTGCCAGCCCACGGGGCATTATAGCACGTGCACATTTCTGGGGACCCTTTGCGTAGTAGGGAGTTCATTTTAATTATTTAAAGTAGAGAGGCAGCGCAGCAATTTTTATGTTTGCACTCACACATTTGTTCACTGGTACACATTTGTGATTTTTCTAGCAGCATCCAATCTAATTGACCAGTCCACTGCGCAGGTTATACTCTCACACCATGAGCCATCCATTGCCAGCCTTATTACACTACACAGTACCAAGGATATTGCCTTTTACAAGGCTTTTCTTCCCCTATTTTACTTCAAAGTAGAGGTTTTCTGACAGTTATTAATGGTTAATGTAAAAAAAGTAAGTGTGAAATATCACTAAGGTGCGACTGCTTGATGCACTGATGTGCAGGATAATGCCAATGCTCTTCTACAGTGAACACAAGGGGGTCTCTATTGATAAATGTTTTCACCCAGAAAAAACACATTTTACCCAGGATTCACACATTCACAATTGGAATCAATTTGGTAAAAGTGTGCATCCTCAGAGAAAGTTGTATGAAATCTGGGTACAAGCAGTAGTAAATCCCCAAGTGGTGAACATTTCTAAGGGTAGTTTGCAGTGCATACATGTGCATATTTGTACCTACTAAGGTGCACTTCAATGCAGGCTCAGGCTGAACATGCACAAGGACCTAAGATTACCAGCGAGGCTGATCCTGTACACAGCAACACACATCAGAAAGCTGGGAATCAGGCTATGTCTCAGCTATTCACCTGTGTGTATGAACTCTGGGCCTTCCTGAAAAATACACTAGAAATACTGGCCACACAAAACCCCATAAAACGCATATCTTTTCACTGGATTCTTGCTACTTTAAAAGTCTACCCAAGAGTGACCTAATCTATCTAAAAGAAACTAATCTGCAGTTGCTAAAAGTAGAAACTCTCTCTGTACTAATATATACATGATGTTGTTACTATGAAACACCAATGCTAACTTGATATCAACACAAAACAAGAGGGGAACTATACTCATGCAAAACCAGAGTTGAAATACAAGTTTAAAGGCAAAGTTAACCTTTTCAAAAAAAACTCATCTTTTTGACGAAAAAGTGGATTTTTGTTATTAGTGGTGCACCGAAATGAAAATTCTGGGTCCGAAACCAAAAATTCAGAATGCACTTGGCTAAAAACCGAAATGGACAGTTTTTAAAAATGTATATATTTTTCAAACAATTTTTTTGTAAAATAAACACACTTTAATGATTAAAAAAAACAATATATACCCCAATTTTTTGGTAAAATATGAATGATGATGTTACGCCGAGTCATGCTTTAAAACTGCGCACGCTCGTGGAATGGCGTCAAACTACGGTACTTAAAAATCTTCATGGGTGATACTTTAAAAATTTCTACAGGTTACCATTGCAAAGTTACAGAGGAGGTATAGTGCTAGAATTATTGCTCTTGCTCTGATGTTCGTGGAGATACCTCACCTTTGGCTTGAACACTGTTCACATATGTGGGCTTGGGCTATGTATGCGTTCACCACTACGAGCAAGCAGGGGGCACTTTAAACTTTTTTTGTTTTGTTTTTTTACACTCTCCCTTTAACCACCTCCCGTCTGGCCGTTGCATATAAACGGCCGGACGGTGGCACTGCAGGGTCGGGTGGCCGTCTATAAACGGCCTCCCAGCACCCTGCTTGTGCGCGCTCCCTGGGAGCGCGCAGCACCGCGATCCGGTGCCCGCTGTGTCCTCCGGACACGGTGAAACGCCGATCGTCGGACGGGACCTCTGTACGAGGTCCCGATCATGTGATCACTGATTGTCCAATCAGTGATCACATGCAAAGTAGTAAGCAAGATGTCACTTGTGACATCATCGCTTACTACTACGTGTGAAATCTGTGAATGATCACAGAGGTCACATGGTACAAGGCTATTCACAAAAGCCTTGTACCATGTGACAAGCTGTGACCAATCACAGCTCACTCAGTAATTCTCAATGAGTGCAAGAATGCACACAGAGAGAAAGAGAAATGATTGCTTTTACATCCTATATAGGTGTAAAAGCAATCAGTGTAAAAAAAAAAAATATATATATCTTCTTCATCACCCCCCACAAGTAGTACAGTGTCACCATGGTGACACTGTACTGCTAGGGTGACAGTATGTTAAAAAAAAAATAAATAATAATATAAAAAAATAAAATAAAAATGTAAAAAAAATGTTTAAAAAATCATAATTTTTGCTTATAAACTAATTTGGATTTTTTTTTTTTACTAAAAAGATAACGGAATAAATTTTGGCTAAGATTTATGATGAAATATTATTTATTTGCAAAATTTTATTAAAAAAACACTTTTTTTTCACAATTTTTGGACATTTCATTTACATAGGCAAAAAAAATACAAATCCCAGTGGTGAATAAATACCACCAAAATAAAGCTTTATCTGTCTCAAAAAAATGGTAAAAAATTCATTTGGGTACAGTGTTGCATGACCGCACAATTGTCATTCAAAATGTGATAGCGCTAAAAGCTGAAAATTGCCCTGGTCAGGAAGGGGGTGAAAGTGTCCAGTCTGGAAGTGGTTAAAAAAAAAAAAACTTTAAATCATGTTTATTCCTACCACAAGGAATGCATGCATCCCTTGTGATAGAAGTAGGCAGTGACATGTCCTACGCAGAGATGTGAGGTCAATAAGACCCCACATCTCTACAATGAATCTCTACATTGAATCAGAAAAGCATTGATCTAGTGCTAAAAAAAAAAAAAAACACAGGCCTTGTGCACAGGGCTCCAGAACCATAAGTTACATCGCTGTGGTCCTCCAGGGGCATAGAGATGAGTGGGGGCCATCTTTCCTTCACTTATCTCTATGCACAGTACTGGGATCGTTCAATGGTGTCTCAGGTAAGGCTGAGAATCACTGAGTGGGAGGGGGGGGGTTACTTTCGGCACCTGTATTGGTGATTATTTTCAAACCGACTGAAGGCCGATAGGGGTGTTTTTGGCTGAAATGTTTTGGCCACCAAAATTTCAGTGTATCCCTAGTTATTATTACATAGTTAAGTTTGGCCGAAAAAAGAAAAAGTCCATCTAGTTCAACCATAGGAGAAAAAAAACAAAACAATTTATAATCCTACACCCACAGTTAATCCAGAGGAAGGCAAAAAAAACAGCAAAATATGATCCAATTTGCTCCTGCAGAGGAAAAAATTTCCTTCCTGATCTTCCATAAGGCACTTGGATATTCCCTGGATCAACCTTACCTATAAATGTTAGTATCCAGTTATATTCTGTGTATCTAGGAAAGAATCCAGGACTTTTTTAAAGCCATCCACTGAGCTGGCCAGAACCAACTCTTGAGGGAGTCTATTCTACATTCTCACAGCTCTCAACTGTGAAGAAACCTTTCTGTGTTTGGAGATTAAATCTCTTTTCCTCCAGACGTAAAGAGTGTGCCCCCTTGTCCTCTGTGATGACCTCAGGGTGAATAGCTCTACACCGAGTTCACTATATGAACCACTGATGTATTTATACATGTTGATCATATCCCCCCTTAATCTCCTCTTCTCAAGAGCGAATACATTCAGTTCCCGTTTCCTTATTGCTGAGTTCCTCATCAGTTTGGTTGCCCTTCTCTGTACTTTCTCTAGTTCCCCAATGTTCTTTTTGTGAATTGGGGCCCAAAACTGAACTGCATATTCCAGATGAGGTATGGCTAATGATTTGTACCGGGGTAAAATGATACACTATTTTGCCAAAAGTATTGGCATGCCTGCCTTGTATGTATGTATGATGTATGCATACACTTGTAGTATTATTATTATTATTGACAGCAGCCTGCAAAGCAGTGGACTGTGGGAGCAATGTCAGGCTCCTGCACACACTGACTAGAGCAGTCATTCTTAACCTTTTTTAGTCACGGCACCCTTTAAAATTATGAAGTCTCGAGGCACCCCATTCTAAAATGTAAAAAAAGGACAGTTATATATAATGCAGCAACATCCACGCATGTAGGACACCCAACATTAGAGGTGATTTATTCTTCCAAATCAAATATACTTTTGCACCCTGGTACTGACTAGTATTCCAGTGTTTCTCTATCACTCATTTAATGTGACCCCAGCACTGATGGAGAGGGTCAAACAAGGATGCTGTGCAGACGACCAACATACTCTTTATCAACTGATGATGTCATTGGTTGCTGGGATGCCGGCGGCTAGAAGCTCGTAATGGTGTACAATGAAAACTCCTGACTTTGTGTAACTAAAAGGCAGGCTTGTTCCACCTCTGGCTAGTACACAATTTTTAGGCAATTTGCCAAGGCACCCCTAAGGAAATCTCAAGGCCCCCCAGGATGCCTGGGCACCCTGGTTGAAAAAGCCTGGCCTAGAGATTCATGTCCCTACCTCTGTAGGGGCACACAGTTACTGCACAGTAGGCAGTGTGAATGAACTACAAGCGTGCTGACCAGCACACCTACAGTTCATTGATACTACAAGTCCATCTGCCGCGGTGGTAGACAGAATCTGCAGTTTTGTTTTCATTCACAAATTACTAAGAATCAATGACACGGCTATGCAGGCAAAGCCCCACACAGCTGCGCTGTTTCAAAATGTGACACTGGGTACTGGAGAAGGAACCCTGGCCTGCTGTCGCATTGAGTATGTAAAGGTGAGTGGAGATTCTGCATTAGTAACATGTTACACCCCTGTGGGGTACTAAAGGTGCACATACCCTTTCAGAAGCTTAAAGTGATAAAGGCAATTTAAAAAAAAAAAACAAACATGTTGCATTTACCTGCTCAGTGCAGTGGTTTTCCACAGAGGAGCCCCGATCCTCCTCTTTTTAGGTCCCCCACCTGCGCTCCTGGCCCCTTCCTCCTGCTAAGTGCCCCCAAAGCAAGCAACTTGCTCTGCAGACACCAAAGCAGGCTTTCTCCCAAGCTGCTGCTCTACATGTCTATTCACACAGTGCCACAGCTTGGCCCCATCCCTTCTCTCTCCTCACTGGTTCACTGGCTGTGAGCCAATGGCTCCTGCTGCTGTCTCAACCAATGAGGAGAGAGTCCCTGCAGAACCGAGGCTCTCATGCTCGAGGATCATGAAGGAGCTCAGGTAAGTATTAGGGGGGGCTGGGGAGCTGCTGCACACAGGCGGTTTTTTGCCTAAAAACCTTGAACCCTTACAACCTCTTCAGCAGAACGTATCAGTTAACATGGATGAAACCATTTACCGCTGACGGGGGTGGTTAAAATGATCAGTTTTTATTTATTCATGTAAAATCTTTATCCCAAAAGGAGAAAAAATGTTTGCTGTAACTGATTATAAAGTGTGAGCTGGAGTATGGCTTCAGTTTGGTATTGATTTCAAATATGCTAATACATTTAACACTCCCATCCCTTCCCCCCAGACTGACAATGCTGCTGTCTCCTGTGCTCAGTCCTCCAGAGTGCTGTCACTAATACCAGTGATGTGTTACTGGCCAGATCACCCAGTGAAAACAGAGGAGGGGAAAAAAAAGTAAAAAAATTAATACAGCCACCGCGTCTAATGATTGGTAAGCAGCAATATAATACATTTTTGGTTTTAGGTTCAATACCGCTTTAAAGTATTTCACATATTTGGGACACTACAAAACTACAATACAGGTATTCACAGACTCTGAAGAGTCCAAGACTGGACCTCAGCACTGGATCCATCCACATTACTTCACGTTTCAACTGCAGGATTATTATGGGCATGCGCAGACGGATGCTGCTGTTGAACACTGTCTTTTGTATTTAAGCCCAGTACTGCCCATAGGCATGCATTTAAAAGCACAAGACAGTAAAATAACCTATTTGGCTTGCTTTGCCTACAATGCAAATGCATCTCAACAGGACTGCTGCACACAAAAAAATACAATGCAAATTAAATGTAGCCTTAAAAAACGGTTATCTACACTACACCATTAAAGTAAATGGAAATGTATAGATGTGAAGGAAACCACCACATCTGTATGAGCCCTATACATGCCCCAATGTATTTGGTCCACCAGGCAAACATTCAAGTTTACCATTGCTGTTAATGAAAATGTTATCCATTTACTTTGTTGCTGTTCCTTTATCCAAACCGGGAGTCAGCAACCCATAGATCTTGATCTACCAGTATATCACAGCCCGGTGACTGATAGATTGCAGTCTGGGATTGATGACCTGCCATCCCAGAGCATCAAACAGAGTGCAATGAGGAGGGACTACTTGTAAAGCTGGAGATGTAGAGAACAAGAGCTGCATATACCGATGCCTCCTCTGTAGTAGCAATGGACCCTGTCCCATGCGTAGTGATACCAACAGCACACATCTTACCCCGGCTAGCGGTTTTCAGAGTGGTGCCAGCAGCAGGGAAGAAGAGATCTTCAGGTCAGCATGAAGCAATACACTGGGCATAATAGTATAGGGCTGCTTTCACACTGATGCACTGCAGCTTTCCTGCAAGGTTGCTGCGCTTTGCCAAAGAATTCTATTATATCCTGCGGTGAATGCAGGAGTTTTGGTGTGCTTTCAGAGCCTGCATCACACCTGCAGGATATAAAAGAAGTCTATGGCAAAGTGCAGCTAACCCAGGAAAGTCCCAGATGCACTGAGCTGCAGGTAAACCGCAGCAGATCAGTGTGAAAGCAGCCTTATAAGGGGTTCAGAACAATAAGGGTTCATTTACATTTGCAGTTTGGGGGGTGGTAAAACCCCATAGTTAAAACGTGTTTGTACCACCGCCACCCTAACCACACCCCCCCTTAGCGGCAGTGGCCAGGGGAGTACACATGCTGCAGCAGGAGTTATACACCCTGTCATGGTTGGATGGTTGGTGGGTGTGGCACCTATCAAGCATAACCTCTTGGACTCCACAGAAGCATGTAGTTGCGGGGCGCTTGCAGAGTGGCCCCATTCCCTTGAATGGGTCACGATTGGCAGGAAGTAGAAGAACCACCAAAAGCAACAAGGGCTTAAATTCCTGCTGCAGCATGTGTATACCTTTGGCTGCTGCCGCAACAGCTATAGGGGGTAGGGATTAGGGGTGGTAAAACTGCAACTTAACCTC